CCTGGTGTCTGTCCCTCTGCGAAAACACTGGGTGTCTGTCCCTCTGCTGAGAACCCTGGTGTCTGTCCTTCTGCTAAAACAGTGGATGTCTGTCCCTCTGCTAAAACATTGGCTGTCTGTCCCTCTGCTGAGAGTCCAGGTGTCTGTCCCTCTGCTGAGACACCGGCTGTCTGTCCCTCTGCTAAAACACCAGTTGTCTGTCCCTCTGCAACCAACCACCACAACAGGAAGCCTTGGTGGAACAAAGTTCTCATGAGCTGGGCGCCCGGGGAGGGTGGCTCTGCCCTGAGGAGGTCCAACCCTGTCCCTGACATTACCAAGGCAGGTTCTCTCCTCTCTCCTCCCCACAGACATCAACGAGTGCTCCCTGAACCCCCTGCTCTGCGCCTTCCGCTGCATCAACACCTTCGGCTCCTACGAGTGCACCTGCCCCTCTGGATATGCCCTGCGAGAGGACAGGAGGATGTGCAGAGGTAACAGCCCCTCCTGCCTCCATCAGGAAGCTCCCAAACCCTCCCCAGCTCCTGCTCTCAGCCACGTGTGTGCAGGGAGGGCAGCACTTCTGCCCTGGCCTGTGCCCACTGTCACCCCCCTGGTTTTGCTGTCAGGAAGAAATTCTTTGCTCACAGGGCAGTGAGGCCCTGGCACAGTGCCTGCCCCATCCCTGGAAGTGTCCAAGGCCAGGTTGGAGCAACCTGGGATAGTGGGAGGTGTCCCTGCCCATGGCAGGGGGTGGAACTGGATGAGCCTCAAAGTCCCTTCCAACCCAAACCGTGTTCTGATTCTATGATTTTTTTTTAACTGTGCCCCAGCCAGCCTGGGCTAAGGCTGTAGGGATTGATGGAGCAGTGGGTGCTCCTGGTGCCCCCCAGGGCTGGCAGGATGGAGCTGTTTGGAGTTGGCTTCCCACCGAGTCCCCCAGGCTACAGCGAAAACCTACCCCTTCCCTTGGGCAAAGGGAAAAAAAACTACAGAAACTGAAAGACCCAAAACCAACCGAGCTATAACAAAATATATATATTTACATATATCACCGTTACATACAGTTACAATACTAGGTACATACGAAAAGAGAACCCCAAAGGGGAAGGGAAAAGGGACAAGGGACAAAACCACAAAAAACCCCGAAGCAAGTATGCACAGTAACAATCAATAAAGAACTAGCAAAAGAAAATCTTACTACTGTCCTTGAGACAGCAGAATCACGCCAAGCACCGCTGGCACCCTCCGCCTCCCAAGGCCTACTAGGCCTCACTAGGCCTCACTAGGCCTCACTAGGCCTCACACGTAAAAATCGTATGGAATACTGGGCACATGGCCACTTCCTTGGTTACAAACTGGTCACCAAGGAAGGCCTAGACTAGAACTATCACCCAGGGGCAGCTCTGACGGGGTCCCTCTTGCAGATCTGGACGAGTGTGCGGAGGGGCTGCACGACTGCGAGTCCCAGGGGATGCTGTGCAAGAACCTCATCGGCACCTTCATGTGCATCTGCCCGCCAGGGATGCAGCGCAGGCCCGATGGAGAGGGCTGCACAGGTACCAGGGCAGGCTGCCAGGCACTCCCAAGGGCATGGAGATGGTTCCCTGCCAGGCATTGCCCGTGGAAGTTCATGTTCCTCCTCCCTGGGGTGTCCCGCTCGTGTCTTCACACACAACCCTCTGTTCACCTCTGGCCCACGTGGATCAGAGTCCAGCACGGAGGGACCTTTCCTTTGGGTCATTCCGTGTCTGTCCTGAGCTGCTTTGCACTGATGTGCTTTGGGAAGGGGCAGCACTGGGCAGCCCAGCCCTGCTCAGCAGGAACACGGAGCCAGCCCAGCTCCACTGCTGGCCCAGGGCAGGTGGAGCATGTGCAGGTCAGGGAATCCAAATTTCAGCCACCCTTGCTTTGGGAGAGGTCCAGGGCAGGTGGATGTGCTTCCCAGCTGATGTGGAAATGGTCCTCAAGGGCTCTGGGAGGACATTTCAAACTGAGTGATAGCACAGGGGCTCATGGAAAGCTGGAATTGGTTCTTTGCCTCACCAGAGCTCTTTGTGGTTTTTTCTTTCTTTTCTTTCTTTTCTTCATTTCTTTCCTTCTTTCCTTCCTTCCTTCTTTCTCTCTCTTCCTTTCTTCCTTTCTTTCTCCCTTTCTCGCTTCCTTTCTCCCTTCCTTTCTTCCTTCCTTTCTCCCTTCCTTCCTTTCTCCCTTTCCCTCTTTCTCCCTCCCTCCTTTCCTCCCTTCCTTCTTTCTTTCTCTTCCTCCTCTCTTTCTTTCCTTCTTTCCTTCCTTCCTTCTTTCTTTCTCTCTCTCTCCTTTTCCTTCTCTTTCTTTCTCCCTTTCTCCCTCCCTCCTTTCCTTCCTTCCTTCCTTCTTTCCTTCTTTCTTTCTCTTTTTCCTTCTCTCTTTCTTTCTTTCCTTCCTTCCTTCCTTCTTTCTCTCTTTCTACCTTTCTTTCTCCCTTTCTCCCTCCCTCCCTCCTTTCCTTCCTTCCTTCCTTCCTTCCTTCCTTCTTTCTTTCTCTCTCTATCTTTCTTTCTTTCTCTCTTTCTCTCTTTCTTTCTTTCCTTCCCTCCTTCCTTCCCTCCCTCCCAGATGAGAACGAGTGTCGGACCAAGCCTGGGATCTGCCCCAACGGGCGCTGTGTGAACACAGCGGGGAGTTACCGCTGCGACTGCAACGAGGGCTTCGAAGTCAGTCCCTCTGGCACCGAGTGCATCGGTAATTCCCAAATCCTGCTGGGCCTGGAGCAGCACGTGGGGCTTCCCAGGGGTCACAGGGGGTCTAAGAGAGCTGTAGAAGGACTTGTGATGTGGGTACAGAAGGACGCAACGAGGGGGAGCGGTTTCATGCCGACAAAGGGCAGGGTTGGATGGGATATTGGGAAGGAATTCCTCCCTGGGCAGGGTTAGGTGGGATATTGGGAAGGAATTCCTCCCTGGGCAGGGTTAGGTGGGATATTGGGAAGGAATTCTTCCCTGGGAGGGTGGGGAGGCCCTGGCACAGGTTGGGCAGAGAAGCTGTGGCTGTCCCATCCCTGGAAGTGTCCAAGGCCAGGTTGGATGGGGCTTGGAGCAACCTGGGCTAGTGGAAGGTGTCCCTGCCCGTGGCAGGGGGTGGAACTCCATGACCTTCAAGGTGCCATCCAACCCAAACCAGGGTTGGAACTCCACGATCTTCCAGCTCCTTCCAACCCAAACCATTCTGTGATTCTTTGATCCTGAGCAGAAGGTTTGGGGGGCATCACCTTCACCTTTCTCCGAACCACACCCCACTCATGCTGGAGCTGGCACAGGCTGCTCCCTCATCCCCGGGGCTGACACTGCCTCAGATCCCGGACTCATATCCCCCTTCCCTCCACCCAGACACCCGCCAAGGGTTCTGCTTCACCGAGGTGCTGCAAACCATGTGCCAGATGTCCTCCACCAACCGCAACCTGGTCACCAAATCCGAGTGCTGCTGCAACAGCGGGCGCAGTTGGGGCCCCCAGTGCGAGCTCTGCCCCCTCCCTGGCACTGCCCAGTACAAGAAGATGTGTCCCCATGGCCCAGGATACTCCACTGATGGCAGAGGTGAGCTGGGACCACATGTTTCAGTGCAGGGGACGTGGATGCAGGCTGGGACAGAGCCCGGAGCAGACACGAAGCCTCTGCGAGGTTCTCCGGGCAGGTTCTCGGCTCTGGGAGGCTCAGAGCTGCCCTGGCACGGGGCTGGCAGCGGGCACAGAGGCAGCCTTGGCACTGACAGGTCCTTCCCTCCCTCCCCCAGACATCGATGAGTGCAAGGTCCTGCCCAACCTGTGCAGGAACGGGCAGTGCATCAACAGCATCGGCTCCTTCCGCTGCCACTGCAGGCTGGGCTACACCGCCGACATCACGGGCACGGCCTGCGTGGGTGAGTGGGGAAAAGGGATCCCGTGGCTCTGGACAGCCCTTGTGAATCCAAAACATCCTGTTTAAAGAACTGCTCAGAGACTTTTTGATCTTTTGAGCGGCAAAGGTGTTTATTGCCGACGCCGGGAGCGAGCGTGGTTCGCACCACGGAGAACTCGCTCGAAGGTTTCACACAAAATCAGGGGGTTTATACAGTTTTCATCTATGATTAAATGCATATTCATAGGATTACAACATCTATCTATACAAATTAATAACAAATTACAACATCTATCTATACAAATTAATAACAAATTAATAATTCAGGCAGAGCTTAGGGTGGTGTTTCTCTTGGCCCTCAGTTTGGGTGGGAGTTCCACTCTTCATCCCGTGAGTTGGGGGTCTTCTCTCATCTTCATCAGCCTGACCCTTTTACCTTTCTGTTGTTGTAGACCTGCTCAGTGAAGCTTGGAGAAAGCCCTGGCTCCAGGCCTATTTCTTCTATTCAAATGTCTACCTTATCTTACTGTATCCTAATTTATCACCTCTAGGCCTATTGTATATTGCCTCTAGAATTCTTCTAAGTTTTGGTCCAGGAGGCAGAACAGAAAGAGTCTCCAGTAGCACTGGAGGTGAAATCTGGGAGCAGCCAAACTTTCCTTTGGTTCTACTGGGCCGAGCTCCAAGTTGGGAATGCAGGTGTTGATATGAAAAGCACCCCTGGAATCACAGGACATCTCCTACATTTGTTGTGCTGCCTCAGACTGAGGTGCTCCCCCAAAATTCTTGTCTTCCTGGAGGGTGAAAACAGGGCATTTTTCTGGGAGTGCCAGAATCCATAGGGATATCTGACTACTGAGTTATGTGGTGCCACAAAACCCGGGATCACCTCGTGTTCAGGAGCTCCTGGGCAGGCTGAGCTGTCCAAGGGGTGGAGGGGGCCCTGTCCCCGTGGGTGCTGACGTGTCTTGTCTCTCGAGGGTAGATCTGGACGAGTGTAACCAGTCCCCCAAGCCCTGCAACTTCATCTGCAAGAACACAGAAGGCAGCTACCAGTGCTCCTGCCCCCGAGGGTACATCCTGCAGGAGGATGGCAAGATCTGCAAAGGTACCCAGCCAGGAGGAGGAGCAGAGACTCTGCCTCACCCCTGGCACCTGGGGGGACGTGGCAGAGCAGTTCAGGTCCTTCTGTTCAGCCACAGCACAGGGATAGAGGTGGGAAAAGGTGCCACCCTTGTGGACTGGTGGGGTGAGGGTTTCATCCTCCTGCAGTCTGGACTTGTCTCATCTGGGAAAAAAACACTCCTTGCCCTTTCCTACAGTCTTCACAGCCTATCCCAAGCTGTGCTGAGCTCCAGGGACCTTGAACCTGGATGTCTCCTGCATGTCAGTGCCACCAGCAGCTGCCAGGCTGGGGCCGTGCCCACCTCTCCCAGTGTCAGTGTGTGAGGAGGCTGGGCTGAGAATCTGGGAGACTCTGGGATTTGTGGATCCCATGGGAGGCAGGGAGAAGTCTCTGCACCTTCCAGACGTGCCCATGTATAACACTGAGGTGGGGAGAGGCTCGTTCTTCTCATGGAAGAACTTTGGGTGCTGTTCCCGAGGCCGGTCCTGGTGTGCCCAGGGTGTATCCACAGGTGGCACAGGCTGAGACCACACGGATAAGACACCTCAGGGGGATAAAATGAGACACTTTTCCTTGTTGCTTTAGACTTGGACGAGTGTTCCACCAAGCAGCACAACTGCCAGTTCCTCTGCGTGAACATCATCGGAGGCTTCAACTGCAAGTGCCCCCCTGGCTTCACTCAGCACCACTCGTCCTGCATTGGTGAGTAGAGCCATTCCCTGCTCCCCTGGGCAGCACCAGGACATTCCCGTGGGCACAACATCCCCAAGGGTCAGTTTTAAGCCCAGGAGAGTCTTTCCAGCCCCCAAAACCACGGGTGTTTTGCAGACAACAACGAGTGCACGGCTCAGCCCTCGCTGTGTGGAGCCAAGGGGCAGTGTCTGAACACCCCGGGCAGCTACAACTGCGAGTGCCAGAAAGGATTCTCCCTGGACAGCTCTGGGGTCAACTGTGAAGGTGGGTCTGGGTCTCCAGGGCTTTGGCAGAGTTGTGTTCCCCTGGGGAAGAGTTCCTGGTGCATCATTGTCTCTGAGGAGCTCAGTTTGGACAACGCTCTCAGGCGCAGGGTGGGATTGCTGGGGTGTCCTGTGCAGGGCTAAGAGTTGGACTGGATGATCCCTGTGGGTCCCTTCCAGCTCAGGATATTCCAGGATTCTATGAGAAGGGTCTGTGGGGCAGCAGAAGCCCCCATGGGAAGCCCTGGTGCGAAGGAGAGGTCAGTGCCTGACCTGCCTGGGCAAACACCAGCCCTTGGAGAGAGAAATGAAGGTCCCAGTGCTGCAGCCACAGCCAAGGCTGGGACAGGAATGGTCCTGTGTCCCACCAGGAGACATCTCATGCTGGCCATGGGACCTGTTGAGGAGTGCCAATGTTCAGCCTGAAGCAGAGTCAGGCCTGACCTTAACTCCAAACCCATCCCGGGGGTGTCCGTGGGCCCTGGGGCTGAGGGTGCCCCTCACTGCCAACTGCAGGGACATAACTGGGCACCAGAACCACCCCCACATGAGCACCCTGCAGGGTGCCAGGCAGGTCCCACCAGCCAGGGGGGAGTTATCCCATTGTCCCATTGTCCCACTGCCCCTGTGTCACTTTGCTGCAGATGTGGACGAGTGTGACGGGAACCACCGGTGCCAGCACGGCTGCCAGAACGTGCTGGGGGGGTACAGGTGTGGCTGCCCCCAGGGCTACGTCCAGCACTACCAGTGGAACCAGTGTGTGGGTGAGTGGGGCGGGGGTCCTGTACCTGTGGGGTGTGTCCTGTACCTGTGGGAGGTGTCCTGTACCTGTGGGGTGTGTCCCTTACCTATGGGATGTATCCTGTACCTGTGGGGTGTATCCCACACCTGTGGGGTGTATCCCTTATCTGTGAGGTTCATCCCACACCTGTGGGACATATCCTGTACCTGTGGGTGTATCCCATAGCTGTGGGTGTATCCCATAGCTGTGGGTGTATCCCATAGCTGTGGATGTATCCCATAGCTGTAGGATGTAGGATGGAGGGCAGCCGAGCCCCCAGTCCCTCTCCACCCCCCTCAGCCCCCTCTGACACTGGGTTTGGGTTCATCCCCACTATCCCACTGATGTTCCCACCCTGCCCCAGAGACAGACCAGGACATTACCCAGGGATGGACCTCCCTGCCCTGCCCCGGCTTCTCCCAGGAACAGGGAATGTCAGGAAGCTGCTCTGCCACCAGCAGCAGGATACCACCCCCCCCCCCCCCCAGCAGCCTTTTGGGATCTCCGGGAGCCTGCTGGGAATTCCGGGCGGGGTGGGAGCACCGCGTCCCGCCCTTCCCTGAGCTTGTGCCCCTTCGTGCCGCCCCCGCAGACGAGAACGAGTGTTCCAGCCCCACCGCCTGCGGCTCTGCCTCCTGCTACAACACCCTGGGCAGCTTCAAGTGCGTGTGTCCCTCGGGCTTCGACTTCGACCAAGCCTTCGGGGGCTGCCAGGACGTGGACGAGTGCTCGGCCGGGGGCAGCCCCTGCAGCTACGGCTGCTCCAACACGGACGGGGGGTACCTGTGCGGCTGCCCCGGGGGCTACTTCCGAGCGGGACAAGGGTGAGGGAGACACTGACACTTTCCCACACGCTGTTCCAAAACAATCGAGGCAGCTGGAAGGCAGGAGGGCTCTGCAGAGGGACCTGGATGGGTTGGAGAGTTGGGCTGATTCCAAAGGGATGAGGTTCAACCAGGCCAAGTGACCTTTGGTCACAACCCCCTGCAGCCCCACGGGCTGGGACAGAGTGGCTGGAGAGCAGCCAGGCAGGAAGGGAGCTGGGAGTGTGGATGGACAGGAAGCTGAACAGGAGCCAGAGTGTGCCCAGGTGGCCAAGAAGGCCAATGGATCCTGGTCTGGCTCAGGAACAGTGTGGCCAACAGGGCCAAGGAAGTGATTCTTGCCCTGGACTCAGCGCTGGTGAGGCCACCCCTGGAGTGCTGTGTCCAACTCTGGGCCCTCAGCTCAGGAAGGACATTGAGGTCCTGGAGCAGGTCCAGAGGAGAGCAACGAGGCTGGGGAAGGGACTGGAGCACAAGTCCTCTGGGACAACCTCCGTGGGCACTGGTGACACTTCTGTTTGGATCACGGCTCTGAGCTGGGTCTCTCTGCTCTTCTGCCCCCAGACACTGTATCTCTGGCTTGGGCTTTGGGAAGGGTCCCTACCTGCCTGCCCCCCAGGAAGAGGATGAGGACAACCTGCTCTCCCCCGAGACCTGCTACGAGTGCAAGATCAACGGCTACCCCAAGAGGGGCCGGCAGCGCCGCAGCCTCAACGGCACCGAGAGGCACCAGGTGGGACACCCACGGCCCCCTGGGTGGGCTGGGGGGCGAGGCAAGACCTGGGGCACCTGGGGAATAGTGGGTCCTGCCTCAGTCCAGCCAGAGCAGCTCACCCCACACCCACCTGGGGTGTTTGGGGATGGCCCCGAGTCCACAAGTCCTGCGGGAATTGGGTATTTTTGGAGGTTGGGACACCCTGAGGTGACACACACTTGGGTGGTTTGGCCACAGATGTCTGGAGACACATGAAACCAAGAGATAAAGCAGGTGTTTCCCATCCCTGGGAACGTCCAAGGCCAGGTTGGACGGGGCTTGGAGTGACCTGGGACAGTGGAAGGTGTCCCTGCCCGTGGCAGGGGGGTGGAATGAGATGAGGTTTGAGGTCCCTCCCAACCCAAACCAACTCTGTGTTTCTGAGAGAGGGGAGGTGATGGAGGAGCAGTTCCCACAGGGTCACTGAGGGCTCTCAGCACTCACTGTCTGACTCCAGGCTGGGCCTGTCACTGTAAATACAGATTATTCCTCCACAGGGGATTCTGGCCTCTGTCCAAGGCTCCCCCAAGAATTTTACAGCCCTGTCAGGTTGGACTGGGAGGTCATTTTAGGCTCTGAAGTTCCTGGTCCTGCCTCTGCAGCTGAGGGCTGTGTGGTGGCTGGTTCAGTGTCAGAGACACAACCAGGGCACCGAGAAACACTTGTAGGAAATTAGAGACTGTGGAATCACAGAATCACAGAATCAGCTGGGTTGGAAGGGACCTCCAAGATCATCAAGTCCAACCCTTGATCCAACCCCGCCGTGGTTCCCAACCCATGGCACTGATGCCACATCCAGTCTCATCTTAAAAACCTCCAGGGACGGAGAATCCACCCCTTCCCTGGGCAGCCCATTCCAATGGCTGAATGTATGGAAGTCGCTGTTACTTCTCAGAGCTGGTTTGGGGCAGAATTCCCCTAAATCACACCCTCCTCCACCCGGCCCTGAGGTGTTGGGGGCAGAATTCCCTGAAATCACACCCTCCTCCACCCTACCCCGAGGTGTTGGGGGGTCTGTGAGTGACACACCCCCCCTTCCTTGGCAGGACCACGCCGTGAACTTGGCCAGCATGGACGTGGAGGCCCCGCTGTCCATGACCCTGAACCTGTCGGACCTGGCGCGCAAGGAGCACATCCTGGAGCTCCTGCCGGCCGTGGAGCCCCTGGAGAACCGGGTGCGGTACCTCATCTCCCAGGGCAACGAGGAGGGTTATTTCCGCATCCACCAGAAGGAAGGGCTCAGCTTCCTCCACCTGGGCCGCAAGAAAATCCTGCCCGGCACGTACCTGCTGGAGATCGTCAGCGTGCCCCTGTACCGCAGGCGGGAACTGCAGAAACTCGAGGCCAAGAACCACCTCGACTACTTGGCGGGGGAGCTGGGCCAGGCACTGAGGATGAAGCTCCAGCTCCAGCTCTACTAAAGAAAAAAAAAAAACAAACCCCCCGCGGGATCCATCCACCCACCCACCCACCCGACAGTCACGGCCCTTCTCCTCTCGCCAGCCACGCCTTGGGAACAAACGGGCTCCTCTCTCTCGCGCCGCCGCCCCCCTCCTGCCACCGCCTGCACGGGACAACCCCCGGGACAACCCCCTGGGAAACGGCCCCCTGGGAAGTGTCCTTCTGGGATCAGCACCTGGGATGCTCTGCTCCGCCAGCCAAAGCCGGGGCCACGCCGCACCGAGAGCTCCCGGGAGCTTTGCCGAGGGTTCCAGACCTCGCCAAAGGTTCCCTCATCAGCAGGGACTCCCTGCCCCTGCTCAGCTCCCTCCTCCCGGCTCCTGGAACCAAGACACTGTCCAAGCTGGCAGGGTGGTGCCATGGGGTGCCTCCATGGTCACATCCCACCCCACAGCCCGGGAAATGTGAGGGGGGGCTGGGGGAAGCTCGGGAAGGAGCTTTGGCAGGGCCTGGTGTCAGTGCCTTTCCCAACAGCTCTTGGTCCTCCTTTGCTTCTGCGTTGTCGTGATGGTGCTGCAGAAACCATCCCATCCCTGCCCTGGCTGTGCTCTGTCTCTCGCTGTCTTCTCCATGTTCTCTGGGCCCTTTGGTGCTCCTCTGGTGCTTTTGGGGCTCCTCTGGTGCTTTTGGGGCTCCTCTGGTCCCTTTGGGGCTTCTCTGGTCCTTTGGGACTCCTCTGGTGCTTTTGGGGCTTCTCTGGTCCTTTGGGGCTCCTCCGGTGCTTTTGGGGCTCCTCTGGTCCCTTTAGGGCTCCTCTGGTCCCTTTGAGGCTCCTCTGGTGCTTTTGAGGCTCCTCTGGTGCTTTTGGGGCTCCTCTGGTCCCTTTAGGGCTCCTCTGGTCCCTTTAGGGCTCCTCTGGTGCTTTTGGGGCTCCTCTGGTCCCTTTGGGGCTCCTCTGGTGCTTTTGAGGCTCCTCTGGTGCTTTTGAGGCTCCTCTGGTGCTTTTGGGGCTCCTCTGGTCCCTTTAGGGCTCCTCTGGTCCCTTTAGGGCTTCTCTGGTCCCTTTGGGGCTCCTCTGGTGCTTTTGAGGCTCCTCTGGTCCCTTTAGGGCTCCTCTGGTGCTTTTGGGGCTCCTCTGGTCCTTGGGGACTCCTCTGGTGCTTTTGAGGCTCCTCTGGTCCTTTAGGGCTCCTCTGGTGCTTTTGGGGCTCCTCTGGTGCTTTTGGGGCTCCTCTGTCAAGCAGTAAAGGTCCCCTCTGAACAAAAGGCCAGTTGAGGTTGCCCCCCTCACATCCCAGAGCAGCCAGGCCGTGGGACCACAGGCTCCTGTTGGGACACCTCAGGCCTTCCCACCAGGATACTCTTAACAAGTGTGGAGCTGGAAGGGCTTTCCCAGAGCTCCAGCAAGTCCAGGGGTTCAGGTGTCCTCCCGAGGAGGAGCTCTGGGGAAAGGCAGGTGGATTGAGGTGCCTGGTTGGGTGTGGTTGGACAAAGCTGGTGGGAAGCACCTCGTGATCCCGGTGGAGAGCACCGGGATGCTTCCCCTGCCAGAGGGATGGAGGGCTTAGATGCACATCCCACGCTGCAAGGGGCACATCCCTGGCCAGCAGCCATGAAAATCCTGGGAAAAGCAAGATGGGGACGGGGTGGGAGGCAGGAACAGCCACTTCCAAAAGAACCCTTGGCTCGGAGCCGCTCTGTCCGTGCGACTCCAGCGCTTGTGGCCACATCCCCCTGGTCAGGAGTTGTCCCCTCTGGTTGTCCCCTCCATCAAGGTGGCCCCAGAGATGGACAGTCTCTGGTTCCTGCAGATGGGATGTGCTCCAGAGGGTGTGGAAAACAAGAATCAGGAGGCAGGAGGTCTCCCTGCTTCCCCCCCCTGTAATTCCAGCCGGGCTTTTCCTCCCCCCCTCCCTCCAGGGAGGGATTTTCATGGCTTCCTTCCCTGCGCTGCCATTCCCTAAATCCTGCATGAACCTCTCTCTGCAGTTCCAAATGGATAAAAGGTGCTAATTCACACGGAACTACCTTATCCCAGCCCTGAGGTGCTCCCAGCTCCGGGAAGCCGGTGCTGGATCGGGATCACCGGCGTTGCTGCACTGTCCCCACCACCCCTCATATTTATGGAGAACCACCAAAGTCCTGCTCCCTGGGCCTCATGAGGAGTGAATATTCCTGTAGCTTTTGGGGTTTTTTGTTATTTTTTGGGAATTGGGTGGGATTTTCCTGGACCCCAGGGGGTGGGGGAAGTGTGTGTTTACTGTATTGGGGGCTGAAGTCAAACTTGAAAACTCTTTTGCAGCTCCAGACTCTGGATTTTACAAGAGTCCCCCCAGAGCTTGTGACAGGATGGGTGGCCTGATGTTTGGGATCGGTTTTTTTTTTTCGTTGTTGTTTTTTTATTTTATTTTTTTTTATTATTATTTTGGTTCATTTCATTTTGTTTTCCAACAGGTGCTTTTTTTTTTAACTAAAAAAAAAAACCAAACCAAAACCCCAAAACCTATTAATAATTATAAATTAGCAGAGCTGGGTTTTTTGTGTATGTATTGAGCCAAAAAAAAAAAATCTCAACTGAAAAAGCTCAAGGTTTCCTTCCTTCCTCTCTGGGGCAGTGTTTTGGTTTGGTTTTTGGTTTGTTGGTTTGTTGGTTTTTTTAAATTTTGTATTGACATTTTTTGCTGGTTGGTTGTTTTGTTGTTTTGGTTTTCTTTTTTTTTTTTTTTTTTGTGGAGAAAGGGGGGAAAAAGTGTGGAAACCCAAAACCTCTTGTCCCGCACAGAGAGGTGGCTCTTTGTGGAATTCCTTTTTTTTTTGTATCAGAAGCAACAGCAACAATAAAATTATTTTGGGTTAAGTGGGTCTGTGTTTCTTCCTCATCTGGGCATGGATTTGGGGTGGGGCTGGTAAGGGGAGGTCACTGGGGGCAACTGGGGAGGGTGGGAGGATCCATCAAAATCCAACATGCAGCTTCTGAGGAAACACAGGTGGGATTGTCCAACCTGGAGAAGGGAAGGCTCCAGGGAGACCTGAGAGCCCCTTCCAGGGCCTAAAGGGGCTCCAGGAGAGCTGGAGAGGGACTTGGGATGAGGGATGGAGGGACAGGACACAGGGAATGGCTTCACAGTGAAAAAGGGGAAATTTAGATGGGATCTTGGGAAGGAATTCTTGGCTGTGAGGATGAGGAGGGACTGGGATGGAATTCCCAGAGAAGCTGTGGCTGCCCCATCCCTGGAAGTGTCCAAGGCCAGGTTGGAGAAGAAAAGGTTCTAGGGAGACCTGAGAGCCCCTTCCAGGGCCTGAAGGGGCTCCAGGAGAGCTGGAGAGGGACTGGGGACAAGGGATGGAGGGGAGGGACAGGGACCACGACAGCGACGAAAGAGGCACCAAAATGGTGCCAGAGGGGTCGGGGAGGGGACGGAGGGGATGGAGCCAAAGCTGCTGCCCGTGCCCGGGGTGGGGCCAGCGATGTCACCGCTTGTCCCGCGCCCACCCTCGGCCCCTGGTGCACCCCCGGCAGGGTCAGGACCCCTCCTGCCACCGAGCAGAGGACGGGGTGCGGTGACACAGCTCGGCCGCTGAGCGGGTCGCGTGTGTCGGGTCGGCGTCTCGCTGGTTGAGTTCGGCTCCAACCCTCCTTCCAGGCTGATATTCCCGGTTTTAGGAAGCTCTTCCTGGCTTCCCATTGCAGACGCAAGAGGGCAGGGCGGGACCGCGGCATCGGCCACCGGGAGGGACCCCCCGAACCTTCCCGGGGGCAGCGGGAGCAGCGCTGGGAGCGGGGCCGCTCCCCTGGCACGGGAAAACAGGGAAAACAGGGAAAACAGGGGCCTGGGGGCTCCGACAGCCCCTCCAACAGCTCCCCGGGCTCCGGTGGGGGGGAAAGGTGTGTGCCAGACCTCCCCAGGATTTGGGGTCTCCCCCTGGAGATGGGGCAGCGCCCCAGGATTTGGGATTTCCCCCTGGAGATGAGGCAATGCCCCAGGATTTTGGATCTCCCCCCAGAGATGGGACAGCTGCCAGGATTTGGGATCTCCCTTGAGACATGGGGCAGCCCCCCAGGATTTGGCATCTCCACTGGGATATGGGGCGGCCCCCCAGGATTTGGGATCTCCCTTGGGAGATGGGGCAGCCCCCGGGATTTGGGATCTCCCCCGGGACATGGGGCAGCCCTCCAGGATTTGGGATCTCCCCCCAGGGATGGGACAGCCGCCAGGATTTGGGATCTCCCCCGAGTGCCTGAGGGCCACCAAAGAGCAGAGCTGGAGCTGGGTGGGGTTAGCACAGTGCAGCTTTATTTCCATGGAGGGGGCAGAGCTTCTCCCTCCCCCGTGGGCTCCAATCCCTTCCTCCAAACCTTCCCGCTGGCCCACGGCCACAGCCCACCCCGTGGCCAGCTGAGCACCCCTGCTCCCCAGGCACGGACAGAACAGCCTTGATCCCCCCTCGGCTACTTCCACAGCCCCTCGGATTCCCAAAATCAGGACGGCCAGGGAAGGGCCAGCCACCCCCAGCGACCCCCTGGGCACGGAAAGGCCACCCAGGTCCTGCTGGAACGAGGAATGGGGCACCGGGGGGGGGCTGCCAGGCCGGGGCTGGCTGAGGAACATCTCCTAGGCGTTGTGTGGGATCTTTGATCCCTCCTGGATCCACTGTCACCAGCCGGGCAGGGACGGGGCACCGCGGAAGCAGAGAGCGGCTGCGGGGCTGGAGGCCGAAAAAAAGGGGGCTGCACACACGGGGGGGGGTCTCCACCTCCCCATCCCTTTTTAGGGGGGGTTCTTGGGACTGCCACACGGAGAGGAACAAAGCCAGCACTTGGGTCTGGTGCCTGGAAACCCCCCTGACGGACACAGCTCAGCTACAGGGACACACACACACACACACACACGCACTGGACCACGGGCAGCGCTCCCCGGGGGACACGGACTTGGGGGGGACGGCGTGGGAAGGGGCAGGAGGAGGGGAGGGGCAGGAGGAGGGGAGGGGAGAGGGTCAAAGCTCTGCTGTGGCACCGGGCAGAGTCGCCCCGAGCGGGGGCCGAGGGCAGGTCCCGCCATGCCCCGTCCCGTCCCCTCCTGCCCCGCGGGCAGGGCGGGCACCGCGCCCGGAGCCGGCTCACCCCTCCGACCCACCCCCCCTCTCTCTCCCGGGCTGCAAAGAGAGAACCGAAAAGTGCTTAGAAAAGAGAGAAACCCCTAGAAAACTCCCCCCCACCACCACCCTCCACCTCTCCCCGGCCCAGAGCCCGAGCTCAGCTCCGCGGGGCCCGGAGCATCCCCGCGGGAGGGAAGGGGGGGCCGGGGCCGGGCTGGGGGGCACGGGGAGCGCCCGGGCTCGCCCCGGCCCTGCCCTCTACACCAGGGCATAGTCAAACTGGCCCCTCTCCAAGCCCTCCTTGTGGTCGGTCCAGGAGGAGGCGGGCATGCGGCTGTAGGGGTCCAGCAGGATGCGGAAGCAGCGAACCATCAGCATCACCAAGAAGACCAGGAGGAAGATGACGAAGGCAAAGACAGTTTTCTGCTCGGCGTCCATGCCCGCGGCGCCGGCCGGGTGCTCCACCAGGGACGGCGAGAGCAGTTCATAATCCATCGTCGATGCATCATTCATGGCAGAGGCGGAGGGCGCGGGGGACGGGAGGGGTTTTGGCGGGGCCGGGGCAGCCAAACTTCAGCGTCCTGCTGTGCCCGCTCACCCCCGGGCACGGCTCACTCCATGGGCACCGGCGCGGGGAGAGCTCCTGCCAGAGCCCAGAGCTCCTGGAGGGGAAAGAGAGGTGGTGAGAGAGGAGGGATTGGGCACAGGGAAAGGATTTGGGTGCAGGGAAAGGAATTGGACAAAGGGAAAGGATTTGGCCATGGGGAATGGAATTGGACACAGGGAAAGGAATTGGCCATGGGGAAAGGATTTGGCCATGGGGAAAGGGGGAAAGGTCAGGGGGAAAAGGAATTGGCTACAGGGAAAGGAACTGGCCATGGGGAAGGGAATTGGGCACAGGGAAAGGAATTGGACAAGGGGAAAGGAATTGGGCACATGGAAAGGAATTGGCTACAGGGAAAGGAATTGGAGGCAGGGAAAGGAATTGGGCACAGGGAAGGGAATTGGATGTAGGAAAGGGATTTGGATGCAGGGAAAGGAATTGGAGGCAGAAAAAGGAATTGGACACAGGGAAAGGAATTGGCTATGGGGAAGGGAATTGGCCATGGGGAAAGGAATTGGACACAGGGAGGGGAATTGGACACAGGGAAAGGAATTTGCCACAGGGAAAGGAATTGGCTACAGGGAAAGGAATTGTACGCAGGGAAAGGAATTGGTCATGGGGAAGACAGAGCTGGTGAGGGAGGAGGAATTGGACAAGGGAAAGCAGAGATGGTGAAGGAGGAGGAAACAGAGGTGGTGAGGGATGAGGAACCAGTCATGGGGAAAGCAGAGGTGGTGAGGGAGCAGGAATTGGCCTCAGGCCACAGCAATGGGCACAGGGAAGGGCAGGGAAGCTCCCAAGGGGATTCCTGGTTTTTTAGCAAGCTCGGGAAGCCCCCCATGAGGGGCACAAGGGCGTGGGGTAGGTGGGCAGTGCAGGGCACTCCCCAGAAATCCTCTGGAGAGGGACCCAAACCCCGGGTAATTCCCACCAAAAATTCCCTCACTCTGCAGTCAGAGTGGGCTGCTCAGGCTCTGCCCATCCCGGCCTCCGAGTTCTCCCAGGATGGACACGAGGCTGGAATGTTCTCCCTCCTGCTGAGGGACACGTGCCCAGCTGTCCTCCCTTTGGTTGGGCAGCATCAGGGGCTGGTTCCAGGAGGAGAAGGAGGGCACCCACCTCACTGCAGCTCCGTGGGGACACCAGCATTGCTACTGCAGCAGGAGCAGGGGGAGGCCGTGTCCCAGCAGCCACGTCACTGAGGGAAGGTCTCCAGGGTCCAGCTTTCCTGGGCTGGGGAGGCAGAGCAGAGGGACAGAGAGGGCAGAGGGGGTTAAAGGGTCACTGGGAGTCATGAGGAACACGAGGCACATCTGGAGTTCGCAGCTCTGGAGGGAGTTAACATGGGAGAAAACCCACGGCAGCCTCCCCGGAAGAACATCCACAGCAACCTCCTTAAGAGAACATCCAACCAACATTCTTTGGAGAACATCCACAGCAACCTCCTTTGGAGAACATCCA